AAACTCTGCACCCACCAGGAGCAAATGCAGCCATGAAACTTGTGTACAGTGTGATGAGCTGCTTTTCAGAAGAAAAGCCAAATGACTGTTGTAGTTACTAAAAGCACTATTTTTCAGTGCAGGTGCTGTTGGTGGGTGGTCAGAGCTTTCCCCTGAACTTGCTCAGAAATCTGGGTAACTCCACTTCAAAAAATGTCTACTAATCAGTTGTGGTGATGTGGAATGCACTTATGCAGGGTGTCTTCCCATTGTATGCACATATACTTCCTGCCCCAACCTTGTCCTCCTCCCTGAGATGAGTTGTCACAGATATCCAGTCTTGAAATACTGAAATAGGGTTGCTGGTCTAGGGGGAACGAGTAACACTGGTGGCATTAGTTGCCTTAGAGAGCCTTGACACTGAAATAATGGTAGAGAAATCACAGTCTTGTTTTTCTCTCTGTGGAGAGGTTTCTGCTTCTCTGATATACATGGAGTTCAGTTCCAGAAAAGCCTCGAGTTCATGCAAATTACACTATAAAAAGTTGAGATAAATACTGCGTTTGCTGTGGTGATTCCTACAGGGCTTAAATAATGGTAATGTCTGTCCTCTTTGGCTCTTCATGGGGTTTCCATCTTATATCTCAGAAATTACCACGGCAAATGAAGGAGAGTTATGTTTTGCACTCTTTTTCATTGCTGTTTCCCTACAGGTGATTATAGTAGGCAGCTAATGGGTCAGATGATGCAGATGAACCAAATACTGGCTGATGTGAAAGACCTTCTCAGACAACAGGTACTTATAAAGGCTTCAGTGTGAAATATCCCAAGCGTACCCCTTTGATAGAGTCAGTGCAGAATTGATGTGAGCAGTAAACTCCTGTGTAGAGTCCATTGCCTTGAAGGCGTGACACAATGGAGAAGAAATAACTATATAGGTCCTAGTACTCTGTGCTATGGAGAATCATTGAATGTGGGAGTGTAGGGGACTTGCTTTTTCAGATCCAGAAAATTTTGTGTCTTAAGGAACTAGAGCAGCCATCCTAGCCCACTGTTAGATAACAGTAGGTCCATTGCACAGAACTGAAACTGCATTTGTTTCAATTTCTTGTGGGTATCAGAACTGGAATTGCTGGTGGCATCCTTTGGTTAAATATGTAATTCTTAAGGGTCCCGTTGATGAAGGCTGAACTGAAGTATGTCCATTATCACTGTCCTTAATTTTATGGAGTATGAAGAGCATCTCATTTAAGATAGATTATCTATGTTGCATGGTTTGAGTGGCATCTTGGGGAATAATGGTTTTTCTTGCAGCCAGGTCCATACTGGAACTGCCTGTACCCAAATAATGTTTTTTTTCTATATTCTCAAGGTCAAAGAAACAACATTTCTGAGAAATACCATAGCTGAGTGCCAAGCATGTGGTAAGTATTCCTGTTAAGGCCTCTAATTCAGATGAGATCCACAGTTGTTTTAAAACTGATATTGATTATGTTAGCTTTATGTAGTTTCTAAGAAGTATTTTTTTAAAAATACCGTGTCCAAAGTTCTAGATGTACTGAACACAAATTTAAAATAGATTTTCATTAGAGGAAAAAGCTTCCATAGCCCAGACACTCACTTATTGGGGGATAAAGCACCACTAAACCAGAAAGTGTTACTCAGGCTGTACTGTCAGTTCTTACTCTGCCATAAAGCCATGCCACATGTTCCTGTGGAGGGAGCCATTGTCTACCAGGTGTCTCATGCACAATCTTAGTAGAAGGACAAGAGAGGAATCATGTTCTGTTCTAGCTGGTATTGTCAGTCTGAGGAAGATCCTATGCAATCCACCTGAAGTTCATCTGATTCTGAGGAGGCAGTCCCTGGTTAACACCAGTAAGACCCAAAAAGGTGGTCATGATTTTTTCTCTACATGAAAGAAATAATTGCTTTTCCAAATGCCATTGCATGGCCTTCCTACATAACTGACAATCAGGACATGCATACAGTCATAAAAACCAGTATACTCTCTTCCTGGGTGGGATGAAAGGTCTTAAATGCATCAGACCTTTTACTAGATTTCTTCTAGTCTGTAAGCCTCATCAAAACTCAAGTTGAGCTCTAGGCAGGATAACCCATATGTGTGAGTGTCAAAGAAAAAGTCTAAATCCTGCATACATCCCTACCAAGGTTCGGCACCTGCCAGAGTCTCAGAAAACCTTGGGCTGGTCTCTGTGCACCTAAACTAATGTACCTGCATATTCCTGCGGTGTTTGTGGGCTGCCAGCTGCTACTTCTTTATTCTTCTTATTTGTAGACTTTCAGAGCTGCTGCTGTTTCAGAGATGCTGTTGTGAAACCACAACCTTGTTTTTCTTATGAAATGGTTGTGTTGCTGATTTAGCAAGAGAAATGCCTTATACTTCTACCCTCATACTTGAGTCCCTTGGGCCATCTGAGGTCACAGGCTTTCAGAGTTTTTTCCCCTGGCCAGGAGCAGATCTGTGCTGGGACTAACCTAGCAGGAGGACTCCCATGTGTAGCCAGGAGAAGCACGGGGATCTAAAAATATAGCATCAATTTCCCCTGGTTGTGGACACAGCAAGCTCCTGGGCCATTCCCAGTGTAAAGTCTCTTCGGCCACAGCACAATGCAGAGTGTCTTGGAGATTTCTTCAGAATGCTTGCTGAAAGCCACAATGGATGTTTCTTTCAGTCACTCAAACAGTTATTCTTTCTGCATTAAAGGTTTGGGAACTGTGAGTTTTCCAACTCAGCTTCCTAGGCGCCCTAAACCCAAATGTGAAGTTAATTCCTGCTTCAGGGGAGTGAGGTGCGTGGAGACAGCAGAAGGATTTCAATGTGGGCCCTGCCCTGAAGGACTCACAGGAAATGGAATTACGTGCTCAGATATTGATGAGGTAAAATAAAGACTTTCAGTGAATTAAAACCCAAACAAACAAATTTTTCATATATATCAATGCATTGCTAGTACTTGCTGTCTTCAGCATTTGCTGACTGCTTGCACAGTGAATATTAATTCATTGTGATTTGATTCTATATCTCTATTTTGCTGTTGCTGCAACTTTATGGAGGTTATATGAGTAAAAACTTGAAATACTCTGGTGAGTTGAGAAGTCACTTAAAAGAATTTAATGTTTGGAAAAAAACGCCAAATTAAAACCAGACAAAATGAACTTTTGACATAGTTGTTTCTATTCCACAAGAAGTTGCAGTAGCTTGTGTTATAGGCTGCAGAAGCACTTGTCAAATTGAACTTTGCTTCTTCAAATTGTCATGCTCCTGACACATTCATACTCATGCCTTGAAGACCAAAATGTTCTCTTCAACCCAAACTGGACCCATCTTTTCAGCCTTACATTAAATGTCTATGAAAGAAAATAAACATTTATTGTCATTGTTCCTTTTGCTTCTTTGTGTTGAAATCCAATAATGCTGACTTAAATCTGTTTTTTTCTTGTGCTATATATTAGAAGTTCAGAGCTTGCTTGTATTGAGGACTGAGTAAATAAATTTACAGTCTCTTAAATGATTAAAAAAACCCTGTGTTAACTGGAATGTGGCACAGAAACAACAAAACCACTTACAGGTTCACTGCATTTTTTCTGTGTGATGATTTTTGACATTACTCTTTAGTAACTTTTGTGGAAAAGCACCTGGATGTAGTAGACCAGGGAACCAGCACAATGAGGTCATAAACTGTGCCTGTGGATAACACAGTACTAGCAGTGTACCAGAATAATGATGTAAAACAGCAAAAGCAATTCCGAGATGTGCTTTGACTGCTGCTTTGATTTGCTCCTTCCTGTAGGCCATCACCGAGGAAGATGTCCTGTTTCTGTCTGTGAAAAACACTGGGGGGAGAAAGTGGGTTGAGTGTGGCCATTTCCTGAGCAGGAGGCAATGTCTTGTTTTGCCTCACATGGCATGAACTGTGTCTGCTGCAACAGAAGGTGTAGAAAAATGGAGGTGCAGCTCTGAAATGTGAAGGCAAGTGGTGAAACCAAGACAACTGTGGTATGAGTTTCATGCCACAGACAGCTATGGTGAGAGACTGAAGCCAGCCTGGATGGAGCCCACCAGTACAGATAGGCTTCACCTCCTGAGCTATTTGCAGACTGAGGCAGAGCATGGCAATAGTCTCCTCTGCTCTTTTCAGGGTTGGAGCAACTCTACCCGTTACAGCAGTGATGGGAAAACAGACTGAGACTGGTTTATAGTGGCTTGATATTAATACGGTTTTCTGTGAGCAGTCAGGCTCTGCCACAGGAGATTGATGTGCCTTCATCTTCGTGCCACCACTCCATATGACAGGTCGGATCTCAGATTAGAAATATCAAGGAAATGGTGTTATAGAGATACGGACTTGCTTACATGAGGTCTTTATGTGCTACTAAAATTACCACCCAGTCTGGAGTGGTTTTGTTCAACAGTAAATACCTACTTTAGCAGCTAGATTTTTACTTACAGTTACACAGGGAGAAATAAAGAAGCAATGAATGGCAATAATTTTGAATTGTCTAATTAGAGGGGATGTGTCATGTTACTTGTTTTCCTGAGTTAACTAAGACTCTGAAGGAAAGTAAATTTTTTTAAAAGCTTTTTAGTAATCTCTTCTGGGAGAGCATTTTTCTACTGAACGAACTATTTGTGTACTTCCTCATACCAGGTATTTAAAAAGAGGTTAATGTATGAATTCTGATAAAGACAAATCTAGAAGATTCCTCACTAAGAGCTGCCATCATCTTTTCTGAGGCTGTTAGCATCTCTGTAGTACACTCCCTAATTCATTATCAGTTTAAAGACATTACTTTGCTGTGCTGGTGCCTGGTATCTCAGGAGCAGGAGCTCTACTCTGTGTGCTGTGTAATTTGGGTGCCCTCTGCTGCCTGCAATAAAAAGTTCACAGCAAAATAAGGAGCACAAAATGTCTGTCCTAGGTTTTACATTTCCCTTACATTACTTACGGATCTACTTCTAACAAACATTTCTGTCAAACACCCGTGGATATTAAACATACCTTTTCCTGCTTGTGTATGTGTGTTTGGTTACAAGTTGTATGTCTCTTGTAGGTGAATATTGTCTGGTTCATTCTTCCTCCATCTTGCAGATGTTCTTCTGTTAGCAATAGAAGGGGGGGAAAAAGAATGTTTTTAAACCTCTTCTATATTTTTTTCTCATGTTTCTCATTTATTGTTGCCTTTGAGCCTGTCTAATGCAGCATGATGGCATGTTGATGTTTGCAGTACTCTTATAAATGTTACCTAGCAGCTAGTGTTGATGTTGGAAAGGCAGCAATGCAAGATGTGCTTTCCAAACTGGCACCCACCAGTTCAGTGAAATCAGTCACAGCTGTTCTGTAAGACTGCATAAGGCAATGAAGTGAATGGTGCCTTCAGGCCAAGGGTGATTTGTGGACATATGATATTTTGGGACAAGTGGCTCCATTCTCCATGGGCCTCCATTCTAGAAGCATGTGGGTGCTACTAACACATCCCTGCTTATCTGGTTCATGTTTGGTTTCCTTCTGGCTATGGGATTTGCACAAATATAAATGAAGGAAAATGCTGCTGCAACTTCTGTGTACCAGAAAAACCCACAGGACTGTTTGGAGGGTTGGAGTTACGTGGCTTTCCTTATATTGTGGTCTGGAGACTTCTGGGGGGTTTTCAGCCTCCAAGGGATCTGAACCTGTCCAGCCAAAGGAGTGACTGAGGATGAGAGCTTAGGACATCAACTACAGGCTGTAGTAGAAGATTGCAAATGTTACTTAAATTACAGAGATAGCCAAAGACTTGCTGAGGTCAGAAATACCTGCAGAGATGATTTTCTCTGTAAGCTGTCTCTGAACAGATGACATACAGACATTGGTTGTAGCACTACCTTTGGTGAGAGGGCTGTGGATTTAATCAGAGGCTTGATGTTACTGAAGCACAAACATGTGCTCGGTTCGTTTTTCTCATTGCAGTGCCGTTACAATCCTTGCTTCCCTGGAGTGCGATGTGTGAACACTGCTCCAGGTTTCCAGTGTGAGACCTGTCCTCCAGGATATACAGGACAAACCATACAAGGGATAGGAATCAGCTATGCCAAGAGCAATAAGCAGGTGAGTGGCAGCATCCCTGTGACAACTGCCATTGCAAGGTGCTGGTTTTATATCAGCAGTGCATCTGTATTTTACTGTAAATTTTTTTGCATATTCCTGTAGCACCCTACAATAGGAACATTGTTTTTATCTAAACTCTTGTGGGTGGACCACAGCACATCCTAAAGTTGAAATTTTCTGTATCACAGTGTCTCTTCAGATTTGGACTGTTGTCCTAAGGGTGTGTCTGTACCATTCTGAGAGCGGTTTCAGGACAGGCTATGTCTCTTTTCTAGTCTTAAATTTTAGTGTCTTTTCTTCAGACTTCAATCTCAAATTGACATTGTTTTTATTATTTGTTGATTTGGTTTATTGCTAGGTCTGCTTAGACATTGATGAATGTCAGAATGGTGGACTTGGAGTCTGCGTTCCGAATTCTCATTGCATAAACACTTTGGTAAGCATCTTTTCATTTATGGCTTTAAAAAATTGATTGTTTTAAAATTTTATGTGGCTAGGATTGGATTTATACGTCTGATTGAAGAGCTGAATAATATAATTTGTTTCTTGGCTTCATATAAATCAAAAAATCCCTTCATCTTTTCCTGGCTAACAGTAAAAAATCAGTACTTGATTTGTCATTAACACATCCATCTGAATTGTATTTTATCACTTTCCCTGAAGAATGGCAGGAGCTCTTCTCTTCATACTACCCAGTTTTGTGTGTTTGTGAGTATGTCATTGCAAGGAACAGCCTCTGAAAGATTAAAACTTTTCTTACTCTCATCTCTTCCCACCTGGGAACTGCTGCAGCAAGCTGTTCCCCTGAGTGCTGTCTTTATAGGAGTAATGTCTTCACTTCATCAGGTTATGTATACAGTAGCAGATATCCCTCTAAATAAATGGAAAAGAGGAGAGCTGCAATTGGTACAATATTTTTAATATCCATAGATATTAAATCCAGGAGAGCAAGCATAGCAGAAGTAGGAATGGTTTGAAAGATGTTAGGATCCAATAAAAGGGGCATACAACCACATTAATGCTATGAAGCAAGAATAACATAATCATAGAATCATTTAGGTTAGAAAATACCCTGAAGGTCATTGAGTCCAACTGTTAACCCAGCACTGCCAAGCCCACCACAAAACCATTTCCCCAAGTGCCATATCCACTCTTTTTTTTAATACTTCCAAGGATAGTGATTCCACCACTTCTCTGGGCAGCCTGTTCCAATGCGTGACAATCCTTTTTGTGAAGAAATTCTTCCTAATACTCAATCTTAATCTCCTGTAGTGCAACTTGAGGCCATTTCTTGTCATATCACCTATTACTTGGGAGAAAAAACTGACCACCACCTTGTTACAACCTCCTTTAAGGTAGTTGTAGAGAGTGATAAGGCCTCCCCTGAGCCCCCTTTTCTCCAAGGCTGAATGCCTCCAGCTCCCTCAACCACTTCTTGTAAGACTTTGCTCCAGCCCTTTCACCAGCTCCATTACCCTTCTCTAGACACACTCCAGCGCCTCAATGTCCTTCTTGTGGTGAAGGGCCCACAGCCGAACACAGGATTTGAGGTGTGATCTCACCAGTGCTGAGTACAGAGGGACAATCACTGCTCTGGTCTTGCTGGCCGCACTGTTTCTGATACAAGACAGGATTTCACTGGCCTTCTTGGCCACCTGGGCACACTGCTGGCTCTTGTTCAGCCACTGTCAAACAGCACCCCCAGGTCCTTTTCCCCTGGACAGCTTTGCAGCCACTCCTCCCCAGCCTGTAGCACTGCCTGGGGTTGTTATGACCCAAGTGTGGGACCTACCAGTGGGCCTTGTTGAACCTCAGACCATTGGCCACAGCTCACAGATCCAGCCTGTCCAGATGCCTCTGCAGAGCCTTTCTAACCTCCAGCAAATCAAGACTCCTGCCCAGTTTGGTGTCACCTGCAAACTGACTGAGGGTGCACTTGATCCCCTCATCCTGATCACTGATAAAGATATTAAACAGGATGGGGCCCAGTGTTGAGCCCTGGGGGACTACCAGCTGGATGTAATTCCGTTCAGCACCACTCTCTGGGCTTAACCATCCAGAGAGCTTTTTACCAACTGAAGACCACACCTGTCCAAGCCATCAGCTGTAGGTTTCTTCTGGAGAATGCTGTGGGAGACAGTGTCAAAGGCTTTACTGAAATCTAGGCAGACAGTATCTGCAGCCTTTCCCTCATCCACTACATGGGTCACCCTGTCATAGGAGAAGATCAGGTTGGTCAAGCGTGACCTACCTTTCACAAACCCATACTGGCTGACCCTGATCCTCACATTGTCCTGTGTATGCTACAGTCTTTCTTCAAAGCAAGAGAAGGGTTGGAAATATCCTTCAGGTGTAAAGGTGGTCCTTTCTGCAGCAAGGTATTACTTAGGCTGCCATTTGTGTTCAGTGTTAGCTTTCCTTGTGAACAACCTAGATTTCTTAGGACTGCTTTCACTGTTCAGTATGTTTGTCTCTTTTTTTCAGTATCTAGAACATCTACCGACACATGTTGTATCTTGCTGCATGAGTAGACATGACTAGTCATCTTCAGGAGGCCATCAGGCCCTGTCTGCAAAGGGTAGGCACCAAGTGTCCTGCCATCTGTCAAAACAGAGCAGTGTGGGGTTTCTAATCCTGTCTCCCTTCAGAAACAGTTTGGTCTGGAAGTGCTGCCTTAAAGGCTATTTTAATGCATACCTGGGCTTGATAAAGGACAGAATATACAGAGCAAATTCATCAGACTTCAGAAAATACTATCCTAGTGTCCATTAGGATAAAGTGGATGGGTTGGTGTGTTTTACATAGGCCATACCATTTGCATGGTTCAAGGACTATTTTACTCTTCAGTCGTCAGTGTATTTTTGTCTTCATCCTGAAAGTATGCAGGCAGCACAGAATTAAAATTTGTAATGAAGTTAGGATTAGAGGACAAAAATAACGCCTGTCTGAGTAGTAAATAGATTTCTCTATGAGGATGGAATAGGACAGTCCTGACAGTACCTCCAACAGACTTTGTATGTGAAGAATGAAGTTGTACGAACGACCTCAGTTTCACAAAGGGGTAGATGCACATGTTTGTCAGAGCTCTGCCCATTTCTGTTCCTTGACATGTCAAAAAATAGTTATTCTTGTTGCCGTGGGATTTAGGTGCTGAAAAAATCTCCCGGAGCAGTTAATTAGGGGTGAGATAAGAAAGGGTTTATTTGCCAAGGCTAAGATGTTACAAGACGCGCGCGCGTATACCTGCTCCTGTGCCCGAGAGGTTACATTTTATAACATCATCCATCCAATCCCAGATGTGTCCACCCTGTGGCCTTTTCTCTGGTCCGCCCCGGGGTCCACCCCCTTAAAATGGGTCTGGGGTGTATTTCGGGACCCTCCATTCATCATCTTCACCATCATCAGAGCACAAAGGGTACATAGTTACCTAAATTCTTGACTTCATTCTGTGGTTTAGGCCCAGATATGCTGTTCTGTCAACTGTCTAGGCCTTGCCTTGACAAAAGACTAAACATTTCTATTGGATTCAGGAGTAGGGCTGATATAGGGAGCATAGAATGGGGTAAGAGGGTTAAGGAATGTGTAAACAAGGGTGCTACAGGGAAAGGGAAAGGGACAAGAGACAAAGAAGGGAGGGTTTCTGCTTTTCAAACCTACTTATAAAACTTACAAGTCTTACCAATATTAGAAAAATAAAAAAACCATTGGGGGCTTAAGGCATCATTCTCTATAAGGTAAAAAGATTGTTTTCCTTTATTAACTTTTATTTCATAAGTTACAAGTCTACAAATATATCAGAGACAAAAGGCATATTAGATGCCTAAAGAAGACCTCAACTTATCGCATCTATCTGTTTATATCTCATATGATTATTGTCCCAGAACATAACGAGATTCCTTGGCTTAGCAACTTTATGCTTATCTACACGAGAGAGGGCACAAATATAAAGTATATACATATGTGTCTAGGCAAACCACTGCAAAAATTTATGTCGATGTTCTTATTGCAGTGT